AGAAGCCTGATCCAAAAAAGGAAAAGAAGCCTGATGAGGAGAAGAAGAAGTCAAAGGTGGTGACAAGGAAGGGTGATCAAAAGCGGGAGAAGCCTGAGGAGGAGAAGTCTAAGTTGAAGGCTGTGACAAGGAAGCGTGAGGAAAAGAAGATGGAGTCTGAGAAGGAGAAGACTAAGCCAAAAGCAGTGGCACCAAAAAAGAAGACTGGAGAGAAGTCTGAAACTACACCACGCGTTGTCAAAAAGAAGAAGGAAGTGATGAAGCTGCACACCAAAAGGGCATCTTTCGCACAGGTTCGGCAAAAGCTTGCTGCGATGAAAGAAAGGCAGAAGCAGAAGCAAGGGAATCCCCAGGTGGAGGCCCATGCGAAGACTGCAGAGGAGAGCACCTGCGATGAGACAAAAGCGCTATGTGAGAAGGGTGAGGTGAAGCAGGGAGATGAGAAGCAGGTCAAGAAGCGCAGCAAGAGGACCAAGGTTGAGGGCAATGCTGACCAGGACAGTGATCGTGTTGCCATTTGAAGCATCCCCCAAACTGAGAAGCATGTGACTTGGATTCCAGCTACTAGTAAACTTAGTGTCCTGCTTTTCCAACTGTGAAGGAGACAGAGTCAAAGAAGCGAGATGTTTCTGTTCTGTCCTCTGCCTACCACCAGTTCTTGCGAGACACCATTGCGGAGCTCAAGGAGAACGGTTTGAGCGGAAAGGATGCACTTGTTCAAGCCCGTGAAAAGTTTCATACTCAGTTTCAAACCTCGACATCACAAACCATGACATCACAAACCATGTTCAAAATCAACAAAAATATAAACACCATTCAACACCCCTTTCATCTTCCCCATACTGCATCCTAAGGTGGAAGACAAGCACCACCAGACTCGATTCATTGTCCAAGCTGAGTCATAGTGAGAAGGTGCGCAGGAAATTGACTCAGCCGAGGCAGAAACGTGCCAGGAAGGAGGCTGACACCGCTGACTAAGATCAGTGGTCATTAGTTCTTTGGGAAATTTGACGGTCAATTGACAGTTTGGCTACATAGTAGCGACTCTGTGGAAATCTGAATCTAGTTGCCTGGTTAGAAGACAACAAAGTCCAGGTGCAGGGGGGCAAAAATGATCAGTGTCAGACTGAATAGCGTTCGCCTTGAAACGTAGAGAGCCTATTGGAACTCTGAAAATCTGTGTGCTAGCCTATTTCTGGATATAATTGTGATTTTTGTGCAGGAACCGCTTTGGAGAACGTTCTGGGCTTTGAAATTCGTGAGGATACTGAACAGGTTGTACTGGAGATCCAGGCTGAAACTCGAAGTCCATGAAGGACAGCGAACCCACTAGCCTGCGATCCCTCTTGAAGGAGTTTGAGGAGTCTGAAGTGCTCGATGTCACACTATGCTGTCATGATCTGACCAAAAAATCTGCAATGTCAGGTCTTCTAGTTGCAAGGGAGATAGGTATTTGGTTTTCTTCTCACACATTCGTCCACATAGTTCAATCCAAGGGCCTTTGTATCACTCTGAGGTGATGGTGATGAGGCCGCTGTTGATGAGTGGGTGGTTCGCCCCAAGGAAAAGAAGATCTATATCCAGTGGACTCCACTCAGCTCTGAGTTCAAACATGCGAACATTGCTTCGGCCTTCACAAACGAGGCTGACCAACTTTTGTACCAACCAAAAACACATCTGTCCCAGTCCAAGCTTTCAGTCATATGTTCTTTCCAGTGGACTCTTTATGCATGACCCTTGAGGTCTTGGAAGCCTCTCGTGTCCTGAAGAGGTTTTGGAGAGTGGCCTATCTTGAGGCTGACAACGAGATCACTGCTCGCAAACCTCTCTATTTTTGGAATTCCAAGTATGCAGGAAAGGAAATTCCACAACAGGAAATCTTCCGCGTCCTGTGATTCTATCTTTTTGTGGGGCAAAGCCACACTGACTAGCCAAAAGTGTGGCTGGGAAATCTTGAGTTCTGAACCATAGGCATGAGGTGAAGAATGATGGATGGTCCAAAGCTTGAAACAGCTTGGAATGTTTCTTAGACGAAAACCGACAACTCAACTCTGGGGCGGAAGTGAAAAAAAAATCTGGGAGCCCTGGCGGTTCAGTTCACTGCAGCGAGCAGGCGCGTGTGGTTTGAGCCACTGGGATGCTGGGATGGGAGGATAGTGGTCCCTGGTGCTCTGGCTTCACCCTCAAATAAACATGATTCACTTACTGTTTCCAAGTGGTTCAGTAAAGCACCACCACTCTATATCACACATACCAAACTGCCAAATGTAACTAAATCACAGCCGAATGCAATGAAATAGCCTTCCATTCAATATTTGGAGTGTTTGCGACTTGCGATGCTCTAGGAGCAAACCCCTCTCCGAGCGGACACGATTCGGTTCTGCAGCGGGGTCTCCCGAAGAAACTCTCCGCTCAGGATCGTCTCTGCAGGGATGAACATCGCTTCGGGGCCCGTGTGCACCAAGAATCTTGGCTGACTCTGCTGAGCAGAAACGGACATGTCAGACATGGTCGTTCAGGGAGGATTGGAAGAGGATCTTAGACGTAAGTGTTTTGCAAGTAATGTTGAATTCCTCGACAAGGACTGACAGGCTCTACTGTTGATTCTTCTTTTCTTCAAGTCTTTTTGCACTGGCAAGACCAGATAGACCAGGGACAACTATATATACAACTCGCAGAAGCTCATAAGGTGACTATAGCACAAAAGCCACAGAATTGAACCACTGGAGTCCTACCAGTTCGTGCCATCCAAGCGAAACTGTTAGGAATCGATCCACAACGCGCGGAGAGCGGAACATGGCTGTAGATGGCTGTAGCAATGAGTTCTTCGGTGCCCTGCCCCGTCCCAAGAAATGCTGCTTACGAAGCTAGGCACGTGCTGCTTACGAAGCCGTGTTTGGCGTTCTAGATCGTTGCCTCGTGGCGCTCGGTGGAGAGTTTGGACAGGACGTGGCGTGCGCGTTGTGAGACACACCGCAAAAGAAGAATTGCCCCACGTGGCCCAAAAGCCTGAGAGATGAGCATTTCGTCGGATGGATCGACCAAATGCTCAGTCGGATGCTTCACTGGATTCATGAAAGCTCCCCCAGACGAAAAGCTGCCGAAGGGCAGATGCTTGCGAATTCCAGGGACTCTTGGTGGTTTATGTGCCAAGGGGCAAATTGGTCAAGGCCTGTGCCCCCCACAGAGGGCAGATCCTGTGTTATCCTTGAATGTGACCCTGGGGTTATGACATGTGTCATCCCTGCCTTCTTTGAGCGACCGTGGTTCACCAAGGAAGGGTAACCCTACCTTCTTGGCGGATGGCTTCGCTCGAACCGAGCTCTCCTTGAACCGCTTTGGGCGCGGTCGGGCCAGCACCCGCACTGGCGGGGGACGGCGCTACAACGTGGGCTTGACTTACGGCGCCTTGGGGCACCATGACATCGCCATGTTGTGTTTGCTCCACCGGCCATGGGTTTCCGAGCGTTGGGAGTGAAGAGAAGGCTGGCTGAAGGCAGGTGTTCACCTCCATCCAGTGGTGTGGTGTGTTTGATCTACGAGCTGCCGTTGATACATGGAGCTGAAAAACTAGCACGGCAGGTCACCATTTGAGGATGAGGTTGGCCATGAAGTCTTCCAGCCGTGTGTTGTAGCCCATTTATGGGTACGTCTTTCTCGTGCTGTGCCTACGCAGAAACCAACCCGCAAAGTGTTCAGTCAGACTAGGAATGTACACACCGTTTTGGGAATGTCATGTAGACATCATGTAGTGACATAATGTAGACTCTTGATGAACAAAGATCAAGAAAACCCTTCATATGGTTTCAGATGGTTGTTTGATTTATCAACCGTCTACAGAATCAACATGGGGTGCAACGGGTGTGGCTGTGGTTGAGTCTCCTCGAAGGGTGCTTTGTGATGAGCTGGCCTCACCCACATCCCCAGAACCCGCTCTACACACCCACTCTTTGTGTGGCCTTGCTGGTTCTTTGGTGACCTAGCGGATACCGGTAGTGGTCCTGGATCCCACAAGAAAGCGCAAGGTTGAACAGTTGATTCATAATGCACCCACCACAATGAAGAGCTTTTACACTCCAAACGGGGCTGGGGTTATGAGTCAAGATTCTACAGTACCCTAGGAATCCGTAGAGACTACATGCATCAAGAAGCCAAGGCCGGGCGTCCAAGGGCGAGTGGCTCCAGCCAAGGTGCAGATGCCATGGTCTCCATGCAGCAGTGGGTGGCCGATACGATCTACGACATCACCGGCACCGGCGACGCGGCCAACGGGTCGGACGGGTGCTCGAGGCAGAGGGTTGGAGTGTGCTTCGTTGGGAGGGCAACGAGGAATTCAGTGGTTCTTTTGAAGCACCTGCAATGGGTGCCGGGGCACTCCATGGGAATGGAATAGAGACTTACAATATGTACAGTATCTTTCATTGACCCATGTTGAAACACCCCCAATGCAGGTAAATATGCCAGTCCCGTGAAGCATTTGGGTGAACAGTGAAGCCAAGGCATGAGGATGCCATTTTCCCAGGCGAGGTTTTTTTTTTGAACCCACTAGACAACTATATTGTTTTTTATATTATTACTTAAGAGGTATGTCAGCCTGTTTAACAGGCTGTTCTGTGAGGATACCAGGACTGTTTCTAAAATGTGAGAGGACTATTACTAAATTCTGGCAGGACTGTTTCTAAAATTGTAGATATTTAGTAGTAATAGTCTATTATTACTAGTTTGCTTACTATATTGTTTTTATATGTGCATTATTGCTGCATTATTGATTCTAAGTCTTTTTATTGGGAATGGAATGAATGATTGTGCTGTACACACAGGCCTGTATTGGCAAGGACAAGGAGCAAAAACAACACATCAAACAGCTAACCTCCTAAGGGTTGAATGCCAGCTAGCCAACTCCAATAGATTTCATCAGTGGTGGCCTTCTGGTACGGCATGCAATGAATTGAACGATACAAGATATGTAGTACGCCTGTATGCAAGCAGAGGGAACCTATGAAGTAACATGTCACATCCTGCTAGGTTCTTCCATGCAATTCTGTGTGTGTTTGGGTGTGGAGGTGAGAACAATTGCAGGGTTCCACCAAGAAAAACCTATTCAGTTCAAAGCCTCTTCACCAAAACACAAACTACAAAGCCGCGCCACTCGCTGCATTTAGAGGAGCCAGCCAGCTTGTTGTGAATGCAGCATGCAGAGATGAAGATGGGCCAGTCAGGTTCAGAGAGTTCAATGGGTCAGGTCAGGGTCACTGAACATTTTTGGTGTCAGTCTCCACCCTCAGCTGTGCAAGCCATGGCAGCTGAACCACCTTCACCTGGCACTCCTGACACTCCTCTAGATGCCTATGAGACCGACGTGTGCAGGGAGTTGATGGAAATCCCACCTCGGAGACTCAGACCTGAATGTGGGGTTTAAGAATGTGACTACTGAGACTGAGACTGACAGTGTGTGCATGATAAACCAAACAGTGGCAAGTTTGGAGTTCACATACCAACCTGCCAGGGTTTGCTTGCAGTGCCCCACCCATAAACTTCAGTTGATGTACTGGGGCTGGGGCTAGATGTTTGGAGTAAAGCAACAATTCAGATTAACAGTTCACTGAGGCGTGGAGAAGAAGCTTTCATGGATCGACAAGATGGAGATCTGAAGAAACCGCTCTTCTTGGATTGGGCAGAGACCATCACCGACTTGCTGCATGTGAAACATGATTCTCCTGCATCCAAGATGAAGTTCCTATGACATGGATTCAGTGCCCATGTGTCCACATGTTGTTTCTTTCATGTTTTGGACCTTTCATTGTTTCTTTCATGTTTTGGTTCTTTCATTGTTCATTTGGGCCATTTCATGTCCATTAATTTCATTTGGTTCTTGAAGTAATGCCATGAGCGCATATGCATTCAGAGGGTTCGGGCTCAGTTTTTGAAGTTTATTGTGGTTGCTGCTTACTGTTTAGCCAATTGTGGACAGCTCAGCTTAGCTACGTACTACTACTGCTACTACTAGTTTGAGGCTTCAGTGAGCTTCAAATTTAGAGTGTAGTCATGTAGTCTGTAGTCTAGTTGTTATTACTACTATTATTTAGTTATAGGCTTTATGGGCTATGATATAATTGATATTATATGAAGTCATATGTTTGTGTCCAGTTTCCAACCACTCAGTCACTTGCCAATGGCTTTAGGTTGGTGATTGCGGAAGGGTGTGCTGGCATTGGAACTGCAACATACTGCTTGCAGCTTGCCTGCACAAGCAAGACTAGAAGAAAGGCATGACAACATGCCACATGGCATGCCCAATGGACGCACTGAATGTGTGAAACAGTGTAACTGTAACTACGCAAGCCGCAACTAGGCATGACCGACCCAACCACTATGAAAAGGAAAACTACGTTTGGTGTTTTGATTGTTTTAATTCAATCAGGGATGTGATAGGTTTGTTTTCACTCTGGTGTCACAGGTGGATGCAGGGTTTACAGTTCAGTTTACTGTAGTTTTGACCAGATGAAAGTAGCAACACAAGTCCCTGGGCTCTGAGGCAGGAATTGAGCAACCACATGGGCTTTCAATGGAAAACCACAGCGTTGAGCGAACGCTGCCCTGTGAAACGACGATGGCTGAAGGAACACTACAAGGGGAGCGGCGTCTTGAAAGAATAGAGTAGTGACAGAGTCACAGTCACATTGGACATGTATCTAGTGAGGGAGGGCTTTGACATTTTCAGTTTTTGCAGTCGTGTTTTCCTAAGAACTGGACTCCTTCAGTGACATGAGGCATCGTATTGTGCCAAAGTCAGAGTTATGAGTCGAGTCATAGTCTAGTAAGTCTCAGTCTGACTCATGTCATGACATGTTACATGTGCGAGTCAGAGTAATATATGTCGAGTCAAGTCATGTCATATGAAGAATCTGAATTGACATTGACTGTTTTGGATGTAGCGGTTCTGTCAGAACTTGAATGGTGTCCACTGTGCATGGCTGATGACTGAGTCGAGCACATTTTCCGGGACATGCTGGAGGGCACCGAGTCAGGCCATTGTGAGCTCCATGATAAAGTTTGCTGCGCAAACGACTGCCAGGACAAAGAGTGTCCAGTCCAGTGTTAGAATGTGATGGAATGAGTCCACTGTCATTGTATGTGTGAAGTGTTTTCTTTACTGGGACGGATGGGATGGGAAGGATGTCAGTTGGAGATCATGAACCCCTTGTCCCCACTTTCCCTACCTTAGATGGTTCTCTAGACTTTGAAGTCAGGCCTCTGACTCTCTGACTCACTTAATCTGTGATATCTGGATTCTTGTCATTCTGCCAGTCCAGTCTGCTGATGACTTTTGCTGTGGCAGCATTGCTGCATTGAGAAGATGTGCTGGGCTATGCTGAAGCTTCTGTTGCATGTAGGACCTACAGACCCAACTGTCCACTTGACAGGACATATTTATATGGGGGCCACCTTGCACACCATATTCTGTGCTTCGGAGTGGCCGGAAAGATCCAGACTACAACCCTTTGAGCTGTGCTGAAGCCATGCCTTTCGTTTTGGGAACCCGACATATCAGCAGCTTGGCTTAGTGTATTTGAGAGAGAGTTCTGAGGAGTCATACCAAAATAGTATATAATGGCAGGCGGCAGTAGTAGTAATGGTAGTAGTAGTAGTAGTAGTAGTAGTAGTAGTAGTTAGTAGTAGGTAGTAGTTGTTGTTGTACCAATTTTTTGAAATTGACTGGACTGAGTCGGACTGAGTATGACGTTTTATGTATCTGTATGAATGACTCTGTATGACTGACATCATGTGACATGTTTATTATCTGGTGATCTGCAGACCCCTGTGAACCATTGAATGATGAATTCCATGAGAGCAGCCACTGGGGAAAACGCCGGCCAGCTCTGGTTTTGATGGAGGAGGTAGGCATGCTGATGTCGCAATTTCGTGCCTTTTGTTTTGTTGGTCCTAAGAGGGTCCAGGCCATTCACATGGCCATGGCCTATGGCCATTCCGATTCTATTCCATTGCAAATCATTTGGTGTCAGATAGGCAGGCGGCAGGTGGTGCGGCATTCCACATTCATGCTGCTGCATGCAACCTCATGCCCATGCCACCCACATGCCACACAATCAGCCCTTTCAACTGTGGTCTCACCCTTCTCTGCTTTGGAGGTGATGGGCATCTATGATGAATTTCCAGCTCTCATCAATGGCAAAGATCCAGATTACCAGGGGTACAAGGCTGGATTGGCCTTTTTGGAACTGGACCATTTGAGTCATCATTTGAGTTTTGAATTGAAGCTTGCAAAAAAAGCAGCGCAGGTTTCTCAAGCCCCTAGTGGCCTAGTGGGCAGAGAAGTAGGGAGGGTGAACATGATGAACGACTCAAACAAGTTGCAAACAATACAATAAACAGCAAATTCCTGTGCAGCACTCGACAGACACTTGTTCACCACTCCAAACCAAGACCATTCCAAATATCCACAGACCAGGGCAGGAAGAGCATTTGTATCATTACCCCAAAATTATCCCAGTCAACATTGTTCTTTTGTAAAGTTGGGGAAGAAACGTCATCTATGCTATGCACAAACTTAATATGGACCAATTGTGGAGACCATACATACCGTCCATACCATGCCATACAAGCCACCTCACACACACATCACATGACAATTGACTGGACACAGTTAAAAGAGTCAGTCATGGTGAGACACACATTGTGCACAAAACATATCATAGAGTCGATGATTGTGCTGTGCAATTGAAACAGGCAGCAGGCGTCAGTATATATAAATTATATCGAATCATATCATATCAATCATATTTTGTTTTGTTATTGTATTTCTGATCAGATCTGTCCATGTATGTTATGTTATGTATTATGAAATATGTATGGCATGGAACAGACTGGTATGGACACTTTGAATCAACAGCTAACCTACATCTACCTGCATCTGCATCAGGCAACAGTCTGTACTGAAGCCATGCTGCGTCCCAATCTTGTGGCATCAAACTCTGGGGATGTCAGAGGGCAAAACCGATACCGGCACTCGACTGTTGAGCAGAACAGGCTTCGTACAGAAAAGGCACGAGCTCAAAGACTACTTGCTAGTCAAAGAAAGTTTGAGAAGGAGCGACAGGATTTAGAAAGCAACCACTCAGTTTTGACGTCCATATCTGGGGATGCTGATTCTAGGACCACTCAGGGTGTTCACCTCCAGCGCTACTTCTTTACAAAGTCCTTTTTTCATGCGCAGTATCAAGAAGATGCATACAGT